GTTAAAAATCAAAATAACTCCTGACTGAAATATTTGACAGAAATGTTATTATGTCATAACCTTGTGGTGGAGTATACATACATGTAGTATCAAACTGCTGGAACCGTAACTGATCAGCCTTTGCCACCAGAAGAGAGGCCAGGCTAGCTTTCACATCTCTGTAGTCCTAGTTGGTTACTCAATTTTTACAATTTAACATTGCAATTCCTTAAAGGGACTCCACTCAAGTTTTTTGACATGACGAGACTGGAAATAATTTTCCGAGATTAATGTTTCATTTAAAGAAAGTCTAGACCAAAAGCGTATGTGCACAATTTCAAATCATTTGCTTGCTTCTTTCTTCCAAAATGATTGTTATTATCTGTAAAATGACAAAAAATTGACTAAATTGGGCTAAGAATAGCATAAACATACAATTTTCAATTTATTTATGTGTATTTTTCTTAATTATCTCTTACATATCTTAAATTCTTAAGAGCCCAAGCTCATCTGTATAAGAAATTCAAATGTTATGTTTTCAGGCCCTAAGACCTCAGTGGAGTTCCTTTAAACTTTGAGTGGACTGTTCCAACTTGAATGCAGGGCAAATCCATTACACAAATTCAGGGAGGTTAAAAGTGTTAAAACCATATAATATTTGCATACCATAAAAATTATAATTTTGTTGTTAATAAAATTCATAAAATACTTGTATGTATGTTTAGAATGTCAGTATTAATCCTATTAAAGTCTATTATCTACAACGTAGGTGATAAATATATCAGTAGTCGACCAATGTAACAAACAAGGGGTCATCTGTAGATTAAACAACCTGCATGTCAAGTACTGTACACACTTTATCAACTTTCAAATATATGTTAAATAATCTGTGCGGCTTAAGAATGTTTCACCTGAACCTATTAGAATGTGTGTCACAGAGGAGTCCACTACCTTGAATTAGAAACTTTACATTGTTCAACATTTTCATTATAAAGATACTATAAATCATAAATCAACTTCATGAAGTCTAGAAGTCCAGAAAAGCATGGCTTTATACTGGCAGCAGAGGTCATTGCCACTTTCATTGCTAAAATTGCCGTAGTCATTGCCACATTCATTGCTAAAATTGCCGTAGTCATTGCCACTTTCATTGCTAAAATTGCCGTAGTCATTGCCACTTTCATTGCTAAAATTACCGTAACCGATACATGTTAAAATATTTTTTTTTTTAAAAAGATTATTTTTCTAAGATGCTGTTAAAATGCTGAATCTTTAAGTTATAATAGTATCCAGTCCTTAAATGATAACTGTTGGATAAAGCTTTTAATATTTTACCTATATGACACATTATTTATATGTCAAAATTTTTACAAAATTATCTATAGAAAATTGCCGTGAGGACATTAATTTACTAGCACAAGATGTATGTTAGCATAGGCAGAATCCAAGCTTTGAAATCTATGTGTCCAGCGGCAATAAATATGCGTACTAGGATGCATGATCATGCATCACCGAGAACCCCGGTTAAAGCTTCGTAAACAAGATATAAATAAACATTACATGAAGCATGACTGTACTTTGAGAACAGTTACAGTAGAATTTTTTTATTAGTTTGTTGGAATACCTTGGTTGATATTGAAAAAATGTCAAGTTTGCAATTTATGCTATTTAATAAACTTCTACGTCATAAGAAGTCCCTGTTTTTATATCTTGCTATGTCAGTAGACAAATCAAGTGGTCAGAAAAGAATAACCTTATGTGGTTAACTGACATAAAAATGTAATTATATTATGCAATTAAAATGTCATATTCTAAATAAAGCTTACTTGAATAAGTAAATATAGTATTAAGTAGATATTTCAACTCGAAACAAGACATGTTTCTGAAACATTTTTGCACCCCCTACAACGTAACTCTGTCCTACTTCTACATAATAATAATAATAATAATAATAATCTTTTATTATAGTGACATGTGTTTTCGTACATGAAAATTACATATATACAATGTAAATAAAGAACACCCGGCCTTATAGGCCTATAGGTCACCTTAACAACAGTGTCAAATGCACATGAATATATACAAATGGACAATTGAAATAATAAGAGTCTGTGTAACATAATTACATATAACAGCTGTTTAGAGGCAAAATTAACGTTTAAACATAAATAACAAATGACCACTTTAAACATTAGGAATAATGGTTCTGTATTAAACTTAATTTGTATAGAGTCAGTATAAACGCTTAATATCATAATAGTTGTCGTGATACCGTAACATTTAGTTGAAATTAAATCATAATGTCCTATAATTTCTATTGGACAAGCTTTTGGTGATTACACACAGTAAGTCACAGTGTCCTTGATCTCTGGTAAGTCATGACTAGATTCCAAACCAAAATATATAGACATGAAGAACATAGAATTCTTTTGGGAATTTTTTTCTTCCAAAGTTGGCAGGTTGTTTTTTTGTTGTTTTTTTTCCTTTTTGCTTTTTTTCCCCTTAACTATCACACAGATATAAAAAAATATCAAAACACAGCTGAAATTATGACCAAGTAACCAGTATTTATCAATTTTTCATTGAAATCTAGAGAATGGTTTCATATTTTACAAGGAATTTAGGGATGGACAATCTTATCATATAAACAAAGTAGATAACTGGACATAAATGATGTAATTACTACGTACCTCCCATTTAATAAATATTGCATGTCCGTATTTTAAAATTTATGATTAAAGCAATGTTTTTCCTTATCAAAAGAAATTTGAAAACATTTCATAAAGACATACCATCATAAAAGACATACCACAGTTATCATAGTTAAAATGTTTTTAAAGTTACGGTCGTAATGACTTTTCTACATAAGGTTCACCCTACGTAAATAAAATATAGTAAAGTAAATATTGAAAGAATTAACTTTTTAAGACACTTAGAAGACACTGTCTATATAATTAGGAATGTTTATTATGTATAAACGTAATTAATTCATGATGATAAATAAAATACTGACATAAAATATATAGATTATATTAGCATACTGGATAAACATATATTTGATAACCTCTACACCAAATCTAACACACAGATCAAGGTTGCTGTGGCTTGCATTTACGTCACAACATCTATCTATAAATATCTATAATCTTTTTGAAACCACTCAAAAAAATACTTCCAATTTTACAATTACAATAATATCTTTCATATGTTGCAGTTTGGATCCGAATGTTCGTCCTAAGGGCACCCACCCATTGCTGGGTGGTCACGGGGATTGCCCAGGATAGATATTCCGATATGATCTGCTAACACATGTTACATATTTTTTCTTGCATATCCTACCATTCTAGCTATTATATATCTTTACCTCAATAAAACAATTTTTCATGAAAATTTTTGTCATTTCATCCGTAACAAATTTCTTACAATTGCATATGAATTTACAACTTCATTCATAACAGCCCAATGAGGTCATCATAGACATTCAGTTTCATTCCTTAATATGCCAAAATGATGTCATTTTAAACCATTTAATTCATAAAATGGGCTTAAATGATGTCATTTTAAAGCACACAACTCCAGCATGCGTAAAACTAACAGAAACACCAGTCTGATATGCAAAATAACTTCACCCATAAATGCTAAATACATCAAAATAAATGGACTTGACCATTTTTTAAACCAGGTAAAACCATTCATCAGCTTATGAAAAAATTTCAAAATATGTACTGAATGAACAGTGAACAGTGCAGAAAATGATTAGATGGCACAGATGTACTGGCTGACCTTTGTCTGCACTGGAAGCATGGGTAGAATCTTTTGCCGCCAGCAGGCTATAAGTTAATATAGTTATATCAGAAGAAAAATAATTTCTTTTGCTTCAATTATGACCAAAACCCTACTGATCTCTTCAAACAATATAACATAGTTGTAATAAATCGTATGTTCCTTACGCTCAAAAACAGGACAATGCAAAATACAAGATTAAATGTCCTTGTCAATATTTATGCATCTACAGCAATCAAAAGATAAAAGTTTTGTTCATATGTAAGTAAACATATAACGAGCGATGTATCATCATTTATTCAATGTCATGTCAATTGTTAATACTAAGAAATCTTCTTCAAGGAATTACTTACTTGAACAAAATTAAGAATTGATTAAGCAGTTAGGGGCAAGTGTGAAATCATTATTTTTCAAGTGTTTTTTTAGCTCTCCGGTTTCAATGCATAAATAAAGCCAATGTCTTCAAAGTGTTTTTTTTTCTTCTTCTTTATTTGTTTAGCCATCATTAAATTGTAAGATAGGGACAGAAATGGTAATATTAATTGATCAATGCTAAGCTTTAAGCAAAAAGATATAAGTTTGTATTTTTATATAATCAAACCTTACTTTTGATATAAAACAGATCGCAAGAACGTGTCAGACCATGTTTGATAGGTATTTGGCTATTTGATTGATTTTATTCCTAATTTGGTCTCAATTGTTATAAATTTTTTATTGATTAAACTTCCAGACAGAAAACATGGCTAGAAAAAATAAAGATAAGATTTGATATTGGATTACTGTCAATTTTTACTGTCAAATAACTCTGTATAAACTGTTGAAACTAAGATGTTCAGAATTACCTCCCTTTAGTGAAAATAGTAAATTGGCTATGCCATGCTTAATTGATAGATCCCTACTCTGACCTTTTATTAAAATAGCAAAGGATTTGACCACAAACATTGACATGTGCTCTTTTGTTAACAAAAATGTTCTGGTGAAATACTGATTGTATCCACTTATCTGATAATTAGAATCAGACAGGTCAGGGATCTATGGATTTCAGTGTATTGCCAATAAATTCCCTTATATCAACAAAGAACAATTTCAAATTGAAAGCAGGAAAAAAGTGTGGAAAAAATTGGTCATACTGCAAAGGGTGTAAAGACTGATTTGGCTGTATTCTTGTAGTATAGACCATTCATTAATACCACTATTTATCTAATAGTTAAATAAGAACGAAGAATGAAGAGGTTTACCCCTGCAGGTTTTCCAGCACGGAGAGCTTTTTGTAGAGTGACAGTTTCCTGATCTGTCTGGGATTGCATGATTGGACTGCTTTGTATCAGCGCCCTCTTGTGGTCCTCGTAAAGACTAGCACTTGACCTGAAAACACATGAACGGGGGTCATGAAATTCAATGAAAACAAGATTGCATTTGAGAAAAATGCTATGCCACCGCATGGTTCAAATTTCATAGCTGTACATCAAAGGACAAGAAAGTAGGTCACATCATCAAAATCTAAGTCACCTGATATCAAAGTTCAATTTTACAATTAAAACTGTGCACATGGTCAAAATGTCGTTGCTGTACATCAAAGGACAAGGAAGTAGGTCACTGTCCCCTTGGGCAAGGCATAATTTTGACCTAAGGGTTTAATTCATAACAATTTTGATACAGGTTCACCAAACAACATTTCAAGTCAAATATCTAAGCTATAGCTTTCTCCCATTCAGAAAACATTTGTTTTATTTTCTGTTTTTACTATGTGTACATAATGAGAATCACTGCCCCGGGGCAGGGCCAATTTTGACACCAGGGGAAAAATTTGAACAACTTTGGTAGAGGACCTATAAATGATATTATATATCAAACATCAAAGCTCTATGCCTTGTACCTTCAGACAAAAATATTTTTTTATTTTTTCACTATATGTACATAATGAAAATCAATGACCCCAGGGGCGGAACTAATTTTGACCCCAGGGCTATAATTTGAACAATTTGCAAGAGGTTCACTACACAATGTTTCATGCAAAATATCTTAACTCTAGCCTTTGTAAATTTAGAGAAGATGATTTTTTAAGTTTTTACTATATACATATAAGGAAAACCTATGGCCCCCGGGGGGGGGGGGGGGGGGGGGGCTAATTTTGACACAAGAGGCAAAATTTGAATAACTTTTGTAGAGTACCTTTAGATGATATTATTTAACAAATATTAAAACTCTAAGCCTTGTACCTTCAGACAATAAGATTTTTTTATTTTTTACTATATGTATAAATTGAAATCAATGACCCCCAGGGCGGGGGCAATTTTGACCCCGGGGCTATAATTTAAACAATCTTGCTAGAGGTTTACTTCACAATGTTTCATGCAAAATATCTAACCTCTAGCATTTGTCAATGCTAGAAGATTTTTTTTTGAAGTTTTTACTATAAGTTTTTACTATATACATATAACGAAAACCAATGACCCCCGGGGCGTGGCCGATTTTGACCCCAGAGCTATAATTTGAACAATCTGGGTAGAGGTCTACCAGACAATGCCTTATGCAAAATATCTAAGCTCTAGGCCTTTTGGGTCTTTACAAGAAGGTGTTTTAAGTTTTTACTATATATACATATAGGGAAAATCAATGACCCCGGGGCGGGGCCGATTTTGACCCAAGGGCTATAATTTGAACAATCTTGGTAAGGGTCTACCAGACGATGCCTTATGCAAAATATCTAAGCTCTAATTCTTTTTGGTTTTACAAGAAGGTATTTTAAGTTTTTACTATATGTATATAGTGAAAATCAATGACCCCCGGGGCGGGGCCAATTTTGACCCCAGGGCTATAATTTGAACAATCTTGTAAGAGGTCTACCAGACAATGCCTTATGCAAAATATCTAAGCTCTAGGCCTTTTGGGTCTTTACAAGAAGATTTTTAAAATTTATTCTTATAATTCCTTTTGGTTGCCATGGCAACCAGATTTCTGCATGGAATGAAATTCTTTGAACAACTTTGGAAGCCCTTCACCCAAGGAACAATCCTGCCAAGTTTGGTTGAAATTGGACTAGTGGTTTTTCACAAGAAGATTTTTTAAGTTCACTATATAATCTATATAACACACACACAAACACACACACTAACACACACACACACACAGGTGAATCGCTATATGTAAAAAAACTTGTCAAACATATGAATGTGGAATGAATATAACTGTGATAAACATTCTGTGATTTGTATCTACTGACATTTAGTGTGGCTTTACATCTCATACAATACAGAACTTCCTTGGAAATAAGATTCTTTTTCTTTAATGCTACATATGCTTTCATATTGTCAGGCATATTGTTCATGCTCTCCGGTTATTGTAAGTGTATGAAAGCATTTGTCATGTATTTTCTTGTTAAACAATATACAATTATAGCAAGTCTACAACAGATTCAAACACATTGTTATCATTCAGGATTCTGAAATAAGTTGATTACTCTTGACCAACATTTTTTTGTCTAGGGTCTTGAAACTGCTAGGAAACCAGTAGTTATATTGTTATCTTTCTTGCTAAAGCCTAGTTTCAATCACTCAACCCTGGGATTAAAGGTTCAAGCGCAAATTGAGTTAAGTTTGATCAGGTTGACACCATATAAATGCTCAAAATAAAACCTAATATTTTAAGCAATGAGAAATTTTTAATCACTGGCCAATCCCATTTGTGTGTGGTTAATAGACAAATGGGTTTAATTCAGAGTAATAAGGAATGAATATTTCTTTGAAAAATCCCATCAAGACTAATTTTTATTTTCCCAGACTATTTTATCAAGTCACAAGGATATTTTGGATATATGTTACGTGTATTCACAAGAAAATGAAACGGTCCCATGTTACAAAACAGTGTCTGGATGAACAAATTGTAAATTTTTATCTAATAGTTAACTTTTAATATTTAAAAGAAGGAAATGCCCCAGGGTTTTAGAATCAGACAGATAAGCAAAATTATTTGATTAATCATTGTAAATACAAAATAAGACAGAATTTCTCCATACCTTAAAGGGACATCCTTTAAATATACATGTTTTCTGGTAAAATGAATATATACAAAATCATCATTAAGTGTGAAGACAATTTCAATGGCTCCCATGGAATCTTTTTCATTAACTGTTTGTTATTGTTTTGTGTTTTTCTGTTTTTCAAGTATGATAAACTTTTGATGAATCATGAAAGACAACTTTAAATTTATGAAATCTTTAACTACCGGTAGTAGCACATTATCATCATTAAAACTCTCGATAGTAATCTTTCTGTCAAAAATTAATATAAGTATTGCTAGAGATTCTAGTGAATAAATACATGCTTCAGAAATGGATATAAATGCCAAAAACACGAAAAATATTTTGTGTAAGCCTTCAGTTTGATTGTGTAGGAAGCTATGAGCTTATAACACACTCTCAAATCTGTTCCTGGTACCAACCAGTATTGAGCAATGAATGTAAAGTTTGTTGCTTAAGGAAACAACGACTTGCCTCCTGAAAGGGTTTGAACCCATGCAGATAGTGAGCTGGCAGATGACTTGAGTCTGATGTGTTAACCACTCAGCAATTGTAATAAACACATTTCTTCAGCTCTTAAGCACTCATAAATTGGAAAACATTAAAGTTGTGTTAAGTATTAACTAACTCTTAACTTGCTGGAACTGAAAGTGATTAGCCCTTTACCACTTGTATAAAGAGCCAAGCCAGCCTGCATGTCTTTGTACTCTGACTAGGTTCTATACTGCTAAATAGCTCAGGTTTCTATTCTGCTAAATAGCTCAGCTTCTATATTGCTAAATTACTCATTTTTTTTGTATTTTTGATATTGAAATGACTTATTTTACTAATGGACTGTTCCAAATTCAAAACAGAACAAATCCATTACAAAACTTCAAGGTGTTAAGGGTTAACCTATTTTCCTATTTTATATAAACTGACACAAATAATTTGTTTTGATAAATTACAGCAATCTTATGTAATAACATGTACATTACTACAACTGACAGTTTAGTTGACATAATTTGTCCTCACATTAATTTTAAAGTGATTATTTTACAAATGAGGGGACATTAAAATGTCATATTGCCTACAGGCATAACATCTTGCAAATATTCATCATTTTGACAGCTATGCATACCTAATATCAATTGGTATCATCCTTAAAAATGTAACAAACTTAAAGATATTAAAATATTCATGTCATTCTACCTTTTTTTTACTGAACATTGTTTTCATGTATGTTTGGTTTTATATGCTGATATTAAAACATTTTAAGGGTTGACAGCATGACTGTTGTAAGTCCTTCTTAATTTCATAAAAGTTACTGCAGTTTTGCAGTCAAACCCCAATTTATGGTCATATCATCGACGGCATATGCACCTAACAGGTTTACCTGGATTACTAACCAGTATTTACCAATTTCTATGGAAGTGACTGAGTTATTATTCCACATGATTTCTGAAATCAGAATCAGCTGCGAGAGACAAATTACCACTAGACTTAAAAGTCTGTGATCAAGTGTCATGGAAATTTTTGCCTCACTTCAATTTAACCAAAGCTCAATGAAATTTTCTGACATGAATATGAGCCGCGCAATGACAAAACCAACATAATGGGTTTGCGACCAGCATGGACCCAGACCAGCCTGCGAATACGCCCAGTCTGATCAGGATCCATGCTATTGGCTATCAGTTTCTCTACTTGTTATAGGGTTTGTAAGTGAACAGCATGGCTCCTGATCAGACTGCGCGGATGTGCAGGCTGGTCTGGATCCATGCTGGTCGCAAACCCACTATGTTGGTTTTGTTGTGACGTGGCTCATCTTTCCCTCCTAGGCTTCCTGCAAGATTTGCCTGATTCATAGTTTGCAATATAGTTTATATATTTTGTAATTTGATAAATTTAAACAAAAGCCATATTGTTATCACAGACACATGGGGTTTGGAGCTCAAAACACCTTTACAATCCAAATAAAATGCATATTTGTCAATCCCAGCACATATACTTATCATATATATCAAAAAAATTCAATATAAGCCATTTTGAAAAAATTTCATATTTCAACGTCTATAAATGATGTAAATAAATATAAATGATGTTTGACAATGGATTATTAACCAAGAATATGTTCACATACCCTGCAACCATCTTCATGTTGGAAACACTTGTACCCTTAATGGCCTCTTGTTCACTATATGCATGATAAACTTTCACTATTTTGGCAGCTTTCGGTTTTGCCTTCTCTTTCGCAAGTATTGGCTGAAGGTATTTATGATTAAAACGTCGGAATCTGAAATTACAAAAAAATATATTTGTGATTAAAATGGCTAAATCATTTTCCGTTCAAGCAGGGTAAGAATTAAGGCTAAAGTAGTCACCTTAGTAACAGTCAAGACTTCAATAAAAGACTATTTTATTGACTCTTTAATTTTAACATTACATCTAAAGATAATGTAACATTAAAGGGTTATCAGTTAAGAGTTTGCTGATCTGGAAACTGTATTTGACACAAGCGGAAAAGCAGCATCACGCAAGGTTCTGATATCAAACTATTCCAGTAGAATTCATGGGAGTCGAATACAAGTGATAGATCAAGAAAATCTTTCAAAATTAATGACCTTTTTATTATAAACCTCCTTGTATTAAACCCTTAAAGACATGCTGGAGCCAAAAGTCATTAAACTTTGCCACTGGTATATACCCATCATGCTGGTCTGTACATGCATGTGGTCTGACCAGGCTCTATACTGTTGGGTGCTCAATTTTTTGTATTTTCATACTAAAATCTCTTAAGACTTTCAATGGATTGTTCCAAAATTATAAAACTGGGCAAATTCATTATATAAATTCCACAGGTAAAGTGTTTAACTATATATTTAACCGTAATACAGTATTATGTCAGCTAAGTCAAATTTGGATCGTACTTGTATATAATACAAATTTTCTGTCTGTCTTGTCTCATGAAAGAAGATGCTGCATGCAGTCATATAAGCAAATTAATAAAATTGTTCATTTTCACACCTATGATAAGCAGGAATTTGTGTAACAAGTATTAATTTCCATATTATAATTTATACAATAAAATAAGTTGCAAATTCTGTTTCAAAAGTCTATATATAAAAAAAAATAAATAAGTGTATCTTATGGTTGATTTAGGTCAGTCTAAATACATAACCCATACTTGTAACTAAATCAATTTTAAAGGAATTAACCTAATTCTGAATGTCAGATAAATCTAAATATTCAACCTAGTTAAGGTGAATAAATCACTATATTTTGTGTGGCCATCACAGCTTGTTACTTTAATGTAAATTGACATTAAAGGAGCTTGACTGATGTCAAAATTTGAAAATCTGACAAAGATTGACTGGAGCACTTAAAACTGAAAACATGAAACTATTATAAAATAAAGAAATAAACTCAGAATTAAATTGAAAATCAATATTTCGTGCCATTCTTTGCCTGATTTGAGTTAACTGCATTTTAACACTTTTCATTACTAGGTCATTTTGCACATACAAAAAATTATTAAAGAGAATTGGTCTATTATGGAAAGTTTTTAATATAATATAGAGATTATAGATTGCAGCATCTTACGTAATGTACTGGTATATATACAGTATTTCCCATCAGACACTGTGTTGTCAAAAATATGACAAAACTAATGACCAAAGGGTTATTGCTGCATATGCTGACATGTTATAGGTCATTTCTGTGAAAATGAAGATCTTAAGTTTCCCCTAAGTCTTCCTTATTTGTGTAACTGACAAAATCTCTTTTAATAAGGATGATTTTAAATTCTTTTTAAAAATTGCAAAAATATGCAGGCATTCTGCTTTAAATTTACACTCCAAAATACACTCCATATAAATCTATGTAAGTGCTCTCCAATAGTGTAACATGTGTGCATATAATGCTTGAAACAAGTTCTTATGATAATTTGATTAGATAAAAATAAAGGGGAGATAATGCAGGATACAGATAAAGTGTAGTCTCAATTTTTAAACATACTTTAGTTGTAATAGATGATAGAAACATTTTATACTTTATGTTGATAAACCATGCAAAGTAAGAATGTAATCTAGGCCTAGCTTCAAAAAAAATTCATCCGTCACCATGAACCTTAAAAAATTCAAACATTCTCGGAGGTAAGCTTTTTAAACAAATTAATAAAAAGAACTAACTTTTTTTTCCCCTGTTTTTTTTTTTTTTTTTTTTTTTAATTAACTTAACCAGTGAAGAGATAAAATGGAACAACACAGCTATTCCACTTATATTTAGTCTCTTAAACAGGACTTTCGTCATTTTTGTAGGCCCTTTTATTGTCGGAGAGCTATGGCCAAATAGTCATTTGCAATGAAATAAAGTCAATTGTTGTTTTTTGTTCTGTTTACTTTAAGATGACATCAAATTATAAGTATGTTTAAATAGCTTGTATATATCAGTAATTATATTTGATATACCAGTTCCAACCACACAGGTCTTAAATAATTAATAGTGACAGTTAATTTTAAATGATATTATAACATACCTGTAAAAGGTACACCAATAATAACTAGAGTTATCACTTAAGGTGATTAATAGCAATCACCAGCAATCTTTACTTGTAGCCGTGACCTTAGCTAGTGACCCTTGACTCAAGGGGGTCAAAATGCAATCCCAACAAGGGTTTCCAAATAAGGTTACTAAATACCACGTTTCATTGCAATATCTCATTCGTAACTGCAGTTATTGTCGGGAAAACATTTTTCTATTTTTTAGTAGTGATGATCTTGACCCCAGGGGAATCAAAAGCTATACCAACCGGGGTTATCTACCTAAATGTTGCTCTATACAATAACTCATTCCAAACTCTAGTTATCGTCTGGAAACCATGAATTAGACCAACAAGCTTCATTTCAGGGGGAATAATTATGTATTCACTGCCTTACGACTTGTGTATCAACAACTTGGTAACGTAAGTATGCTTATAATTGTCAAGTATGTTTATAAAAGTAACGTATATTCATAATAGTAACGTAAGTATGTATATAACAAATGACATACCTTGTCCTCATCAGATTGTGTGATGAACTTGACACCAAGTCTTCTAATCCAGCCATCAAATGATCAATCATCTGTTTTATATATATAAACAAACATTATACGGTGGTAAAATATACTTTATTCAAAGTTAAAAAATTTTCAAACTCTCAAAATGTTTCTCTTATCTGCACACCCTTTCATTGAAAATTCTAAAACATATAAATTTTATCACAACACAAACAAATGGTCTACCAATTAAAGTCTGCCTATTAGTATTATAGCTTCAATTCTTTAAATACTTTAAATTTGAAAAAAAATTATTTTCTACAAAGGGGTCATGCAACTAAAAAAAGCAAAAATATGACAACGATATCAAAGAAATAATATTCTTTCTTATGTTACAGACACATGTTTATTTCTTAAAAAACGTTTGCCCATAAGCCTTAACTGTACATGTATTTATCTCATTCATTTTTTTTGTGTCGCCTCTACGGAGTAGTGGCGACATATAGGGATCACTTCTCCGTCGTCTGTCTGTCCGTCTGTCTGTCTGTCCGTCCGTCACAAAACTTGTCCGGACTACTCCTCATAAACTACTGGTGCAATTTCATCCAAACTTTACAGGAATGATCAGTACCAAGTCTAGTTGTGCATATTGTCAGCATTTTCCAGTTCAATGATTTTTGTCAGAGTTATGGCCCTTTAATAATTTTTAATTTTAAAGTTTGTCCGGACTACTTCTCTTATACCACTAATGCAATTTCAATGAAACTTTACAGGATTGATCTGTAGCTCAAGTCCTTGTGCATATTGCACGGGTTTTCCGGTTGAATGATTTTTGGCTGAGTTATGGCCCTTTGATAAAAAGGTGTTTTTTTCTGTGTGTTGCCAGATACACAAAAGCTTGTCCGGACTACTCCTCATAAACTATTGGTGCAATTTCATCCAAACTTTACAGGAATGATCAGTACCAAGTCTAGTTGTGCACTGTCCGTCTGTCTGTCCGTCTGTCACAAAATTTGTCCCAACATGAAATTTGCCATCATGAGGCGACACATGTGATTACTGATCGCTCTTGTTTTATGAGTAAAATGCAAGTATGAAGATCAACTATATCATATAATTGGCAGCATTCCCCAGTGGTTAAAGTGTAGGACTAATAATCTTAGGATTCCTAACTGTGTGGTTTAAAACCCCGTCAGGAGCAAACCGAAGTTTCTGTGAGCAAGAAACTTACACTTATTGCTTAATATTGGTTGGTTTCAGGGTGTTTCAATAACCTTATAGCTTCCAACACCATCAAACTAAAATAAATTAGTATAAACAGTAAAAGTATCACTATACTTACAGTTTCATGAATTTTCTCATTAAGACTTGGATCTTCTTCAGTCTGTCTTTTCACTTTTAATGCATTTACAACTGGTTTAACTGATATACCCTTCAAATACAAAAAATAAATAAGTAAAAAAAAATAACATACATGAATTCCTACTTTAACGTTGATGATAACAATTGATAACAATCATAGTTTAACTTACACACAATGAGATGTAATTCTTATAAAATTTTCACTGTACTGGAGATATATATCACAGATTATTTGTATCAGTTTCTAATAATGTTTCCAGGCAACCAGTTCTAAAATTATACATAGTCATGACTTTTATCACGAGCCATATATTATTTGCATGTTCTCAGGTTATTAAACTTTTGTGCTTGTGAATGGTGTTTCCTACAAACAGTATCAACTTTCGACTTTAAGTTATAAAATTTAACAAAATTGTAAATAACTTCTAACTACTGTTATATTTTATTCCTTTTAAACTAGTTTATCAAAATATTGAATTAAACTAAAGCTGTTGCTAGAGAACATGGGCAGGAACATATGTGTATACTGCAGCAGTATCAAAAAAATATTCGCAAACAAAATGCAATAATAAAAAAAAATCCTGCAATCTCGTAATTTACTACAGTCCTACACGAGTTTTAAGGATTATATTGCACTTTATTATCAACCATATTGTACTGGGTTTGGTAATAAGTGTTAGTGTTAATTTTGACTTAATTTTATCATTAAAATTTAATCCTCTCCTTTATAAGTTTAAAGGATTATATTGTACTATATCACCATCAATACTGTTCTGGGTAATGTGTGTTAGTGTTATTTTTGATGGAAATTTATCATTCAGACAATTTGATATAAATATGAAAAACAAACAAATACCTACCTGAATAAATACTGTGAAGAAAACAATAATAATGGTTGCCGTGACAAACAAACGTTTCTCTGGTACTAATTCTTCCTCCAATGAGAGAGCAAGACAAAATGCGATTCCCCCTCTTAGGCCTCCGTACGCCATGATGAATTGATCAATCTTCGTTAATTTTACCAGACGACGTCGGTTTAAAAACCAGGAACATATTATTACACCTGGAATAGATGAACAGATCTTAGAAAACAGTTTTGTTAAACATTTTTTTTTTGCATGAAATATAAATAAATGTTTATAAAATATGAAATATGTACAAAAATATATTTTTAAGTAAGTTATTATTGATACAACTTACAACAAGAGTTACAAAAAATATCATATTTACTTTTAACTCAAATGCATTTTGGTTTTTGAGACATTTTCATACGACACATAGTCCCCCTTATCCAAGTGCTAACTTCACATCCCTTCTTTTGTTGTTTGTAATTTTCCTACCTTAGAATTATCATTTTAGTTTTGATGTGTTGCTCCTTCTTTTGTTTGTTTTCCTACCATAGAATTGGGTATCAAATCTAAATCTGGTATTTAAACAATACGCTAGTCATTTCTGGTTTCATAATAAAATAAATTTCTACAAATAATCTTAAAAGTACATGTATTCCAATTACTTTGTAATCACTCACCTATTACCCTGAAGAAAAGACAAAAAAACAATGCAAAAAATATAAATGCAAGGTTCCAGTCTAACGTGTCAACAATTGTGGACAGTCCAAGGAACATAAAGATCACAGTCTCGGAGATGTTTGCAAGCATTTTCATGAAGTATTTTATAGTAACAGCAGTCTTCTTGGATACGTTATGCTCCATATAGTGACGAAGAGCAATACCACCAAATGATAATCTGTGAAAAAAAAAATCAAACATATAGTGCCTGCGAACTTACTTAAATGTTTTAATTTTTAATCCTTACCATGCTTAATATCTTAACTGGAATTGTCCATCTTTAAATCTTGACAAAACCATCCATCATATTTAGAGTATATTTGATGTTAAGCTAACAATGCAGACCATGATCAGATGGCATAGATGTGCAGGTAGATTGTGGTCAGCACTGGTCACATGGGTAGATTCAGTCACCCCCAACAGGTTAAGAGTTAATTTTTAATCAAACTATATGAATACATTTTAACTGTGATTGGAGTTCTTTTGTTTAACTTTCTCATCTTGTCTTTCAATAATGACTATTGTTAAAACCAAAATCAAAGATAAACACCAATTTTTTCTCAATAATTTACAAAATGAGGGCAAATTAATCTTTTATAATGAATAAACAAATATAGTAATTGCTTTCTCATTCAAATTAAACTCACAACATAATAAAGTTAATATGATATGATCATATCACATTTATTTTGCTTCAATGATATCAAATACAACTTAATACTTAAGACATAGTATGCTCAAATTTGATATTTGAAAATATTGATATTGCTTCACAGTCTCTTTGTAAATATAAAATAAATACGTTTTGACATAACACAAATAAGATAATATTATTATTATTATGTATATTGTTTAAACTCTTCACACTATAGGTGGCCACACATAATGAATATGTGTCATTAAAAAATCTGTAAGTTTTTTTTAAGAGAGGACCAAATTTACTTGACCAGAAATAGGGCATACAGCTTCCCATACATAGTTTGTACATGTACATCTTTTATTCAAATTAGACATATTCCATAAGAATTTCCTAGATGTCAGTAACATTGGGCGATAAAAATATTCTACTCGAAGATGAGCATAGATCAATAGAGTAATTCTGTTTCTTTGCATCCATTTGTAAATGCTGATATAAATATCATTTATCAGTATAATAAGCTATTCTATTAATCTTATTCTAACAAACAATCCACTTTAAACTCATCATATTCCGAATGACCTAAACAAATTGACCCCCAGCTGACCAGATTTTTAAGTGGAGTACTGTAGTATCATTATCCAGCCAATAATCCCTGTTTGACCATTACCATGCTATATAAATTATCTTAACTGGACTTTATAATCTTTCAATTTTAACAAAACTATTCATCACTGTTAGGGAATATTTTACAACAAGTACTGACGGAAAAGCGAACAGTGCCGATCATGATCAGAGGTCACAGATGTGTCGGCTGATCTTGGTCTGCACTGGTTGCATGGGTAGAATCAGTAAATGTAAAGAGGCTAAGAGTTAAATCAATATCATTTGTAGTACTGAGTAGAAAGGTCTTAAACAATTTTACATGTTACCAAAGAAAAAATGTAAAACGCATGTGCGATCTGAAAATCTCACAACCTAAAGTATGCATTTTAGGAACCACATGACCCCTAAATGCATATATTCTTAAAATGATATTAATTTGTAATTTTTATAAATTTGTTAGTAAACTTACGCTAGAATGCCGGATAGATGCATCATTTCGGATGTTAAATACATGAGGTAGCCAAGGACAAAAACGAACAGTGGTTCGATAACTTTCACATGATCGGTAAACTTTGTGATGAACCCGCCAAATAGTCCAAACAGTATGCCGATGAGGGAGCCTCCGAGGGCAATGATGAAAAATGAGCCGATACCCGTGGCCACATCAATTGCGATAATATTCTCTTCTCCTAACTCGATAAATCCTTCCATCATGTGATAAAGTACCTAAAGACAACAAAATAAAGCAACACATTAAGAGATCTAATAAGACCTTTGATAAAATAAGAATGTAATATACTATGCTTACCTCTATATCACATAAAATTATTTGTCGCCTGGTAATACTTCAAAGGTTTTGATTCTATTTTATACATGCATGTAGCAATGATGGTAGAATTATTCAAATTTATCACATAAAATAAGGCTCAGGAGTAAAATAAAGCCATTTAATAAAAACAATATTACAATGAAATAACACTTTGATACGACATCATTTTTAAAGCTAGAGCCTCACATGTCATGATTTTATTCAACTCATTCAATAAATTTAGTATTACACCTACACTCATTCAATATCCTCTATATCTGTTACTATTTTTAAATCATCATTGTTATTCTAGTATGACATCAATATGGCATAAATAAAAAATGTATTGTTATAAAGAAAATTCTAAGTATTTTCCTTAATTTCCACATAACAATGAACATTTTGGACAAACAGTATACAGAATCGTGGAAACATAAACACGGAGATTTTGCTTCAACTTATCTTTTGACATAGATCTATGTGTTTAAAAACTGTCATAATATCTCATATTTACTTCTAGCACAACATGCTGTAAATAATTTATAAAAATCAATTTAAAAGCAAGATTTTCCATAAATACTTCAATTGCGTCAAACTTGAAGCTAAAAGTAAAAATAAACAACTTAAAGATCAATTTATGCAGATTTATTGATTCTGATTTCCTGAATTCACATTAAAACACATAAGATTATTTTCTTTTTCTCTGTATAATAACTCTTATATCAGTATCTATAAAATCTTCTAAGAAACTCAATAAAACAAATAAACAGCGCTTTGTGGTCTTTAAGAATTTGCATTGAAGGTTTTGAAATATTTTGGTCATAACGAAAAATGATAAATGGAAAATCTAAAATATGATTGAAGAGTCTTAAGGTGCTCCAGCTATCAATAGCAAAAATCCTTGCAAACGTTTTTATTCATTTTCAATTTTGGGGATATTATGCTGAATATTTGAAGTTGCTCATCTTACAGTATTATGTATACATGTATATAGAGTCTTGTCCAACAGCAAGGACGTGCAGGGTCTGGCCGGGCTCTATACTGGCAGCCTATGTTACATGTAAACACTTTCGGTTCCAGTAGGTTAAGGGTAAACAGTCGAAAAAAAAGGTCTTTTTTAAAGAAAAGAGGCATACCACTGTAACACCATCATTGAGCAAGCTTTCACCGAATACAATGATGTAAAGCATCTGATTGACATGGACTTCCTCAAACACCGAGATCACAGCCACCGGATCAACGGCAGAAATAAGGGCGCTGAAAATAATGAAAAATAGACTTTACAAACACTACTGTATACTCAAAAGAATATCTGAAATATTTTTATTGACGTCTGATATGAAATAGAAATGAGCCGTGTCAAGACAAAACCAACATAATGGGTTTGTGACCAGCATGGATCCAGACCAGCCTGCGCATCCGCGCAGTCTGATCAGGATCCATGCTGTTTGCTTACCAACTCTGTTACAAGTAGAGAAACTGATAGCGAACAACATGGATCCTAATCAGACTGCGCGGAGGCGCAGGCTGGTCTGGATCCATGCTGGTCGCAAACCCATTATGTTTGTTTTGTCGTGACACAGCTCAAATTGTAATGTTTCACCTACACTTAGAAATAGCTTACAGATCGAACTCCTTGGAAACTATAGAACTAAGATCTCTTTAGTTTGCAATGCAATTAACTTAATGACATTTTCTACACTACACAATACATCAATATTACATCAAATGATCTCTTTAAATCATTTAATCCCCTCTACAGACAATTATAGTAAAGGTGAAACATATTTTAATTTCAGATATTGATTGAAAAATACACAGTCACTTTAATTTCTAAAAATCTTTTCTTCATTCCCCATACAACAAAGGAGTAACAAGAAAGACAGCGACTAATTTAAGTCTTTTATCAATTAATTATCAATCAAAATAATTTAATTCTTTTATCAATTAATTATCAAACTAATTAAAGTATTTTATCAAGTTGTGTGAAATGCTATAGCAAAACTAGAAAAGGTGGAGAGAAAAAAAAACTAAAAAAAAAAAACTCTTTTAAACTTTAAACAATCATGATCAAGTCAATATCTGTATAAAGGATATATACACATATACACTGTTTTATATAAATCTAAAAATCAAAAGACTATCTTTAGTATCTTATTAACTTAAATTGGACAACAACAAAGGTCAAACAAGTCCAAGAGGTTGTGGTGCTGAGTTTAAGCACATGTTAACTGTTTGAATAGATTCTTTTTCTCTTTTGCTCGAATCACCAAAATTAGTTTTTCCCACAATTTTCATACCATTGTTTAAGTACATGTATATACCATGTACAAAGTAATTGTTTAATCAAACTCGAAACTCACACAGCTTCTCCCCTAATGAATTTTATGACTTTATCAATATGCATGTACTTAGTCGGTGTCACCGAGGACAAAAATATTTACCTAGAATTGCCCGTCATAGTAACAATGATCAATATTGTATCTAATGATTCCTTTACTTCGTTTCATAATCGTATTGACATTAGACTTAATCAAAGTTTACTTAAAATTATCTTTGAATCAAAGCGTCTGCTTTATTAGGAGATTAATAAGTCCTTTGTCAATAAACTGTTTAATATAAAATTATGACTCTTTCAAAATATTTTAACATTTTAAACTTGTCAGTTTATAATTATGTATATAATGCGAAATTGACGACTCATTCGCACACAAAGAATCTTGTTTTAGTCATTCTAAATATATTAATAATTAAATCCTCCATAATAAAATGTATATCATAATCAAACAAAATTTATCACACACTTAACTATTTTAAAAAGAGCGGTTAGTAGGACAACTTGCATGAATGTAATCAGTGCTTGACAGTAAAACATGAGCCTGGATAATGTAGAATTTTTAATTTCAAAAAGGGCCATAATTCTGTCAAATTTTAGGTTAAAGTAATGGGCCTTGGACAGTGACCTCCCATTTGACCTGTTAAAAGAAAGTAAGAAAATTAAAATCACTGGAATAGTAGAATAACATACCTGAAGATGAGACAATGCAGAAGACTGATCGTTCGACCAATCAAACCCCAATATGACACGGCAAACAACGAGAACCCGATACATACTGTATTGAAAGCTGTATTCACCACGGCAAGTAGAAGAACTGATCCAACATTGTCGAAGAATGACCGAATTGGCATAAAATACCCTGCGTCGAAGATGATGGGTGGCAGAAGATAGATGAAGAATATATTGGCATCGAGGACGTACTCCGATGTTGTTGCCACGCGGCCATAATGTAGGATGCAACCGACAATTAAACCAAGTACTATCAACAAACAGCTTTCCGGAACAACCGTCGGTAACTTACTGTGCAGGTGAAATCCTGAAGAAAAAAAAAATATTTTGAATAAAATGTTCAATAACAATGTAAAGTCAAATCCCATGCAAACATTCAAGATTCAAATGTATTTACTTAAATTTTGGTGTTTTAAACAATACCTGTAAGGAAATACAATGTACTCAGTATTTACAGAAATCATTTTAATATTTCTATATCATACTGTGTGTATGATACAAAATTTCACAAGTACATATCTAGTGTTCATGACAACAATGTGTTATACATGTAATTTAAAATTTAAGAATAGGTTGGCCAACGGGTTGAGAATGGGGCGGTGGGGGATGGGATAACAACCAGCCAGTTATTAAATGTTATTACATATACAAATGAAGTATACTTGACCAAAATACATTACAATATTTTTTTCAATATTTATTTGTACATTTAAATGTATAAATGTTCATACAAATGTCAAAAACATCACTTTATGCCATACCAACACCCAGCGGTGAATAAATATATCAAATCATTTGCCATACCAACATACAGGGATGAATAAATATATCAAATCATTTACACTAATATATTTATTATAATGATTTTGAAAGGTGCCACTTTGTTAAGTGTTGATATATATGTGTTATATTATTATGTTATAATATTGACAAGTTGCTATGGTTGTATGACATTCTAAATAAATAAAGTACAGGACAGTATCACCAGCAAATGAACCTATATAAATGACACACTTCCAAATAACACTTTCAGCATTGATAAATTTTTGTTTGCTTGTTTTGCATAGAATGCCAACTTGCTTACTAAGTTAATTGTAAAAACTTGCACATAAAATATCAAGGTGTATTCTAAATACACCTCAAGAAGTTGCATAAATATCCTGCAAGAAAACTTTTTGTTTACCACTCAATTTACCTATATAATAAAAGAGTGACACAAGCAAATATAAGCTGTAATTTCAGTCTGAATTTATGCAAACAAATTAACATATATCTGCCATTTGTCAATATTTAATTTTAACAAGAAGTAGAAATTAGAATATATTTATTTAGGAATTTCTGATACAGGCAGAAAAATGTCTTGAAAATATTTTTTCTGTTTAAGGGAGACAATTTGTTATACATTCCTAAATATCATTTAAGTTGTATGATATGGTACATGTAGTGCATTTTTATAAAACATACATTTTTGTAAACACATGAAAGAAATAAAGTCTACCCAAAAAATATCAGATATACAAATACTTATACTGGTAAGTGATATTTGCAGTTAAAAGATGTTCAAAGTAATAGAAAGAGCATCAAAATACGAGGCTATCTGATTTGTACGAGGGGGCATAGCCCCCCCCAAATATTCATCAGATTGCCGAGTGTTTTGGTGTTCTTTCTCTTTTGTATCATAGTCAAACATAAAAACACATTCCCTGTTGTCACAATATGAAGCCCCAGAACAAAAGTAACCTATGAACGAGCATCTGAATATGATATTTCTATCATTTTTCATTTCTCTGCCTTCACAATAAGTAAACCCCAGGAAAAATGAGCCAATCAATGGGCATGCTCTGGAGTGGGGGTAACTAATACATGTACCTGCACTGCAGTTAATGCACTGTGCATGTATATGTATACGATTTAACTTTGACACATTTTTAACAGAAAGGTCCCAAAACTACATGTATGATACAATTATTGTATTGGTAAGTGATATTTGCAATTAAGTTTTTTTCCTTACAAAATTAGTTCTGTATCTTGAAAATATAAATTGAAGAAAATGACGAAAACATGTAAAAAGAACCTGTATATGAAATTCAATGAAGACTATGATAAAATCAATGAACGTTTCTGCTAACTCTTACAATACATTATTATAATGATTACAGGTTATTTTACATGCAAAACATCAAAGAAGATAGAGGGATCTTAGGCAAACAGGGTTGAAATCTTCACGATAACATTATCTCTAGAAACATCATGAGATTACAATGGCTACAGAAATTTTATTATCACAACATCTTAAAACTGAAGTAACACAATCGTTCATGTATAAGTTGATGGAAGATGCAAAATATTTCAATTTTGTTTTTGTTATATGTATTGTATTATATATGCATGGTATTGTATTGTATTTTATTGTATGTACAAATGTAGTCTATGCTTAATGATGGTCCATCCACCGTTAAGGCACAAAATGCATCTTTCGCTGTCAAATATGGACCCTGAACATAACACAAGTCTCGCGCCTTACAGAGTAAAGTTTGAAGCACAAAGTGGTGCACATGATAATTTACATCCATGCAAATTTCCACAGAGTATTAGCCAAAGATATGAATTTTGAGCCAAAAGTAGGTAACTGAACTGTGGTCAATTAGAACTTAAATATTTCAATTTTGTCTGCCTGCTTAGCTATATATTGATGTTGGATAAGTAGACTTGTCTGTCACTTGCAGGGAAATTGGTTATTACTGACTGGTATACAGGTTAGTTATCCAGTAAAGCCAGTAAGATAGATCTACTGCCAAGGTATGACCCAATATTAAACTTGTTTAAATTGGCGTATTTTAAACCAGAAAAACAATGCATTGATCAATCAATCAATTAATCAAGTTTTTCAATGTTTGTGTTGTTACTTTAAAGCAGCATGCCTCCAGATGAGCCAAAATATTTCAATAAATCAAACTTGTGAAAAATGTATTAAGATTTTAGACAAAGTAGAAAGATTCAAGATTGAAGTAATAATTTACATGTTATGAGCGATTAATGATGGATTTTTCATTATGTGTATTTCTACTGCGTTACTAACACAGTAAAGGCATTTTTGCATATTTTGGCCTCTTTCTGTAATAAAAGTGGGTTGTAAGTGCCATTGATAATGTGTAAAATGATTCCTTTTGCTTACTATACATTTATATACATTTAATTTCATTTTCAAAATTTTTATGAAAATAAGCATGAATCTGGAGGCATGCTGCTTTAATTTTTCAATTATATTTTGTGATAATGACAAGCCAGTTTAGTTGGCTAATACCTAAAACTTTATATTGAACAGATACATGTAAAAAGTTTTTTTATTCAGCATCATGTTTATCACATGACATGTATCCTCTTTGACAGATTCTTGTTATGAATTCAGTTTAAGATCATCTGCTTGTCCATATAAATTAGCCGCATCATGACAAAACCAACATAATGGGTTTGCAACCAGCATGGATCCAGACCAGCCTGCGCATCCGCGCAGTCTGATCAGGAATCATGCTGTTCGCTATCAGTTTCTCTACTTGTAATAGAGTTGGTAAGCAAACAGCATGGATCCTGATCAAACTGCGCGGATGCGCAGGCTGGTCTGGATCTATGCTGGTCGCAAACGCATTATGTTGGTTTTGTCATGACGCGGCTCATATAAATATCAAACTAACAGCTTATTTTGAAGTTATATACAAATATATCAACTGGGAGTTGAAATCTTGGCAAAACTTTATAATGAATTAAATCTAGCAACTTTGAAATGTTTAGATGATAACTGAAATGACCGGGTAACTCCTGACCTTGCTCGAACATTCATATACATTGTTTGTTCAATAGATAACAAACATTAAGATTATCTATATTATACTTGCAAATTGTCTTATAGGACTTTCAGATGCTTGAAGTTACATGTAATTCTTTGCTAACTTAAGCCCCTCTCCTCGAAACTTTTAGGAAAGTCATATGTTTAAAATTAAATCTTTACTAACTTAAGCCCCACTCCTTGAAAAACTTGGACATATCTTGACTTATTTTAGCCAGCAGTGTGGAGTCTTTTCACAAATATTGTTCATTTCCCCCAAATTTTAGCAATTACTAAACTAAATTTGTCTTTAGCATCCAAAGAGGTGCTTGCTTATGAATGCAATCTTTTCTGTTATTTTTTATCAAGTGCTTTAAGTTTAACCATACCCTATTACATGTTCATTTGAATTGGTCAACTGTAACTTAGTAAAGGTGATTTTATGATGGAGATTTATTTTGTGGTTGGGTTTTAAGCCACAATCATTACAAGGACACTTTTATATAGGTTATATGGCTACTTTCTAGCTTAAGTGGTGAAGGTTGCCCCTCTTTGCACTATTTCAGGCACAAACAGGTACTCAAGTAAAACCATCAGCCTTATCTGTAATCTAGCTGGACTTCCATCAACATGTAGTTATGGTTGCTGACTGAACTACTTGCTCAGGACTCATCTTTGCTGGTATAATTGCGCCAGGGATTTTGCATTCCTTACTTCGAACAGAGATGGAGATATCAATATTGAGCTGCAAACACTAACAAATTTACTTAAGGGCTGCAGATTAATTCAAATATCCATTACTCAGTTTGGTTCTCTGATCATACTCAAAACATCGTGATCAGCAGTGTATATAGATATACCAACAATGCTGGGGAAAGAGCAAAGATTTTTCTATCAGTATATGTGCCTAGATGTTACCAGGGCCAGGTGCTGGTCTTAAAGTCCCTGTTACTCTTTGGAGAGGTAACAAATGAAGCATTAGCTAGGATATTATATCAATTATAAAATAATCTGACAGTGAATAATTATATATCATATAATTTTGTTCTAAGTTAGTATGTCACAACTGCTTTAAAGAATATTATGTATAATATTTCCTAGACTGATTCTTCACTTGTTCATGTTAACTTATCCTAGAAATTTTACAATGATGTTTATTCTAGATAGCAACATATACTATAAATGATATAGATCAGAGGGCTGGCAGAAACTTTATATATATTTCTTTCCTCAATAAATATCGTTCTGAGTCAATATATAATTCTATTCCGTAACTTTGGTTATTAACTTATTTTCATCAAAATCGTCATGCCATGTTTACAAATTACATGTATAGGTCTGTACTGAGCAACTTTATAACCCAAAGTGAACCACAATAATATGTCACAGTGACTGACTTAAAAAGAAAGATAAATTTGTACTAAAACCATCGTAAATCACAATGTTTTGAATGATAAAATATGCGTATGACTTAGTTAATGAATGTGATAATTATTTATCAACACCTATCTTACATAAGAGATATCTCACAATGAAATATTACAAATTTATTTATGATAAATAAGGTATCAGTCAGTGCAGACTGACATTTGTTTGACATTGAAAAACAACTTACCAATTTTGGCTAAACTTGCTATCAACACCCAGCAACAGATAACAAAAGGCAGTTCCACCCTCTCAAAGTCAAAAACCACCAGGGGATATCTTTCACTGTTTGATTCATTTTTCTTTCCTTCAGTCGCAGTGGCACACTCCCATTGACTCAAAAATATACATGTACATAAACACAAATTCAACAAAGAAAACCTCATTTGAGACGATTTTCCTACCATTTCCATGTAGGATCGGGTATATTTTCATGACATAATTATCCGATGTTATTAATAAACTACCATAGAACAAGAAAATATGAGATAAAGATATGTAATAACAAAGGTTTAGTCAATTTTCTGTGTCAACAGACCGGTGATAACGAAACGTACTCAGCTGACCGTCTGGGGGTCATAGCGCATGCGCAAATTGCGTCATTCAGTTCATTCATAACACCCACTTGTAGTGGCGCGCTATTTAATTAATAATGTAAACTTTCGCGTCATCAATCGATAAAAAAATTAGAATTTATCTTTTATCCATTCATTTAAAGAATTCACATAAGTTATTTTTAAAGCAGCCGCCGACGAAAAATGAAATCATATAAGTTTTTTTCCCGTAAGTAAAAAAATATCTTATTTAGAACTCCCTTCTAATTGATGAATTGATTGTTTAATCTTTGTTAGAACATGTTTTGATAAATTTCATTTAACTTAATTCATTTTTGTCTAAACATTTACGTAAAGAGTAATATCAATTGTGGTAAATAACATTTTGTACCCCCGGGGAAATCAGTTGTCAATGTTCCCTTCCGGTTTTGCAAGGATCGTACAAATTATATACGTCAAGAACACGGAAGCAAAAGAATGATTAACCGATGATATAAAATAATAAAATTCAATTTAAGTTAAAGCTATTTTACATACAAATTTATATTGATTAACATATGTATAAAAAGACCATCTAAATTCTTTGTCTATAATTATTGACATAAATTATGGCAGTTTAAATCCACTCCTAGTGACCAAAGACATGATTAAAGCGGCACGCCTCTGGACAGATTCACACTAATTTTCACGAAAATTTTGAAAATGTGTTTAAAAGTATTATTCAGTGAAATAACCAAAATGAAGTAATTTACACAATATCAATGCCACTTACAATCCACGTAAATTACTAAAAAGAGGACAAAATATGCAAAAATAGCCTTTACTGCGTTAGTAACGCAGTAGAAATATAATTATAAATACTGAAAACCGGTCATTAATCGCACAAAACATGTTAATTATTACTAGAACTTTGAATCTTTACACTTTTCCTAAAATCTTAGTACATATAATATATATAGACTATATGTATAGTCTGATACAGTATATATTTTTCTACATTTACTTTTTTAACACTATCCCAACACTGTGCTGAGTCCCTTTGATTAAGATCGGCAAAATTAGAGTATAGCCAGACATACATGTATTTGTTGTCAAAACTAATAACATTAAAGGCCAAATTATTGTCTGTCTTATAATTTTCTTTCGTCAAATATGCAGATGAAAAGGAAATTAAAAGCTTTATGAGGGGAGACGTGATGTGATGTACCTGGGACATATACTAATTTAAAGGACTAAGAAAAATCTTTGCATCACTTTTTTCACGACGATTTCAAGGCACTTTCAATATACGAACTATTCACACACATTTGTTTTGATATTTTTTATTTCTGTTAATAAGACACCAATTTATTTGAAATTGATGTAATAATAGAGAAAAAAAATCTCATGCTAAAAATGGTTCTCCAAAATCAAAAGTCTTTTTATAAATGAAAATACTAACACAGTTAAGATAACGAAGCATGGCAACTGTCAATATGAGCCGCGTCACGACAAAACCAACATAATGGGTTTGCGACCAGCATGGATCCAGACCAGCCTGCGCATCCGCGCAGTCTGATCAGGATCTATGCTGTTCGCTATCAGTTTCTCTACTTGTTATAGGGTTTGGAAGCGAACAGAATGGATCCTGATCAGACTGCGCGGATGCGCAGGCTGGTCTGGATCCATGCTGGTCGCAAACGCATTACGTTGGATTTGTCGTGACGCGGCTCATATGTGCTTTTATTTCAATGTTTCTTCTTTGATGTTCGCGAGATATCTTACTACAGGTACCGTCAACATATTACCAGGAACCAGCTGGAGGAGTGTGACGATATTGCTAACATCGACAACAACACATTGCCATTCCATCTCGGGTGACCCAAAGAAAACGGCAACAATCATTCCAGCGCGCAAAAATCCGACGATCAAATCTTCTGCCGTTTTCCACCCGATTACGTGGCTGCACACCAAAGGAGTACTTTTAAATTTAAACCTGAAGTTAAGTTCTTTGACGGACTTGTGTGTACACAGTTGTTTTTTTCGGTCTTTTCTTTTCTTTTTTTAAGATATCCTCAATTGTCAAGAATGTTTTAAATAGTAAATCAATGATATAAATTTGATAAAATCCTGCGTAATTCGCTTGAAAAACGTGTAAACTGGTGTGCCTTTCCAAAGTCCTGTAGAATAACCCCCTCCCCCAAACCCCCACCCCCTCACATGAAAGGCTGTTTTTGTATCGGATACGTATGTAGACACTTATTGGCTTGTGAATGTGATGTGTTTCTATTTATCTTTGTTCCTGATTATAACTTATTGGCAACTGCCATAATAATATAGGTCAAGTATATCTATGAATACATCATCGTATATTTGAGACAAGAGTTAGGTAAATCTGAGACTGTTTATTATTTGTCTCTGTGTTAATCCAGGTTGCTTGACTCCTAGAAATTCTCTAGATATTACGGTACATATACATGTTTATGTATATAAAACGATAAAAATACCTACGGGTCGATACTTACACAATTAAATCTAAATACAGTTATGAAATTTTAAAATACAAAATAATAGAAGCAGCGAGCACTTTTTTTTCCAATATTTGCCACTTTCCCTGCACGTGTTGTTGTAATTCTAAATTATGTAATACAGTATTCCCGACATTGCACAAACTGTTTGACTGTAAATTAAGAAAAGATTCCTTAGACGTAAAAATAGAATTTCGTTTTTTAATGAAATATTTTATAAAGAATCCAAATGTGTTTTATCAATATTTAAACTTTTAAAATAAAATCTGTCCATTGTAGACGAATCCAAATTACAGTTGTCACTTTATAAGAAAAGTCACTTTTTATATTAAAGGGACTCCACTGAGGTTTTTTGACATGATGGGACTGGAAATATTTTTTCCAGATAAATGTACCATTTGATGTAGGTTTAGACCACTAATCTTTGTGCAAAATTTCAGATCATTCGCGCACTTCGTTTTTCCAGAATAATTATTCAAATTGTAAAAAATGACCCAAAATGAAAAGCGTTTAAACACTTTTCACTCAAATCGGGCTAAGAAAAGCATAAAAATACGATTTTCAATTTATTTCAAAGTATATTTCTTAACTATCTTTGCATATATTTCTGTTTAAAGTGCCCCAGCTCATTTATGTAAGAAATTCAAATGTTATGTTTTTAGGCTTTTAAACCTCAGTGGAGTCTCTTTAAGGGTTTTCAATGGATCTATACCTCTTATCAAGGCTTGACAAGGAAATTAAGTTAATTTTATAATATGATTTTTTAACTCAAATAAAATAAGATCAAATAAAGGGAAATAATACATTATTCCTGAAAGAATCTTACCGCCAATGCTGTTTGCCCTTGGATAATTTTATTGTCTCAGTTAATTAAAAAGACTGGAAATAATAATAATAATTTATTATGAATGATAAACTCTAGAAAAAATGGAATCACGTCCGATGTCACGCGCAAATACATCTCATACAAAAGAAATTACACGAAAAATCAGCATAAATTCTTGTATTTTCTCAATTATTTGTTTATCAAATATGGAGATAATTGTTTAGATTTAGAAAAAATATATGAGCCGCGTCACGACAAAACCAACATAATGGGTTTGCGACCAGCATGGATCCAGACTAGCCTGCGCATCCACGCAGTCTGATCAGGATCCATGCTGTTCGCTATCAGTTTCGTTTCTCTACTTGTAACAGAGTTGGTAAGCGAACAGCATGGATCCTGATCAGACTGCGCGGATTTCAGTTTTTGAACGATTGGTTACACATTCTTACACATTTCTCATATTCTTTGTGCAGATAAAGGAATTAATAATTATTATAAAGTGATAAAATGCATGAACATTAACATTCCTGTCTGAGGTTGTGAAATTTTATATTTATTATGTATATAATTATGCTTCTCAAACAAACTTCTCAAACATTGAAGAATATGTAAAATATGTACTGCAAATATTTGTCTACATTATATGTAATCAATAAAATATATGCATTCATTTCTTATTGAAAAAATTGACTTAGACTTTAAAGAAAATAAATTTCTAATTATCTCCCTTTATTAACATGAAATAGAGGATATTGAATGAGTGTAAGTTCAATACTGAATTTATTGCACGAGTTGAATAAAATTATATTAACATTTAGCGCGTCTTTACAATATGTTTGTGTAACGCTAATGACGTCACGTCAAAATATATGCACGGCCGTGCAATACCATATTTACGGAGTCGCAAAATCGGCACGGGTGTGTGATAAATGTAAATTCGGTAATATCTTTACAAATAATGCTTTTTGGAACTTACAATATTGATAAATATTTATTTGAGCATTATATTTATGATATAAAACCATACAAATTGAGTAACAGTATCTTTTATAGTACCAGTAGCAATTCTATAGATTTCTTACAAGAAAAATAGTAATGTACCACTTACTTGTCACTCCGAACCCGAACCTAGGATGGAACAGGAAATGAGTTGGGTCTATACCTTACGTCTGTCCCTGTACTGTCCAGATTTTAACTTGAAATTTTTCATCTTGCACTACGAGGCTATAAAACGGTTTCCACTCTGGCTGACTTTTAGGTTATCAAACTTCCAGTAAAGGTCCGCCCTGCATATTTCATCATCAGTAGTAGGGGTCGAGGTTACAAATGACTAATAAACAGTAAAGTACACTGTTTTTCTATATATATTCATATATTAGGTTGTGACATAATAATAATACCACTGTTTTGAAGAAAGAAAAGAAAGAAAATAGATACCCCTTTAAAAGGGTGTATAGAACACAGCTAAAATTTTTATTTGAAAAGAATAAACCAAAATAGTCAAACGTCCCTAAAAGTTAATTTGGAAAAACCTTTAGCAAATTAAGATGTCCCTTTAAAATAAATACCCTATCTGCATAAATTGAAAAGCGTATTTTCGTCCCAAAAATAGGGTTTTTAAAAACTATGCACTTGTCCAATAGAATTCGGGGCGTCCGTGGTCCAGTGGTTAAGGTCTTTGACTTCAAAATCACTTGCCCCTTGCCCGTTGTTCTACTCAGGTGTCTGAAATAATGCATGGAAGAACATCTGAGGTCCTCCTCCACCAGTAAAGCTGGAAAGTCG